TGCATTAATACAGGTTATTGAAATGAGTTTGGGAAGTTTAAAATTTAATGAATTTGGGGAGGAAATGGATGAAATTTTATTTTTTTTTTAATCTTTTGATTCCGATTTCTTTCAGCTGTGTGAGTGTCTTGCTGTAAAAAAAGACACTATCCGACAGGAGTACTGGAGATACTTTGCAAGATGCCTGAAAGAGAAGTATGGTGTTAAGCAGGAAGATACTGAGCCTACGGAAAGTGAAGCCTCCCTTCAGGAAGGCTGTAGTAACTGAAAACTACTTCTGTAGTTTGTATCTCCTAGTTAAAAGGGCAAAAAGTAGTGATCAATGGTTGTTTTTTCACATTCCTCTTTAATTTTCTTAACATCAATCTACACAGCACCCTTGTGTATGTAAATGTATAAAAACAACATTTTGTACGTGTATTTATATTATTTGAAGCACAAAGCTAAGGAATAAACAGCAACTCTACAACAATGTTATTATCACATTTTTGCCTTCAATCCACACGTACAAACTAAATACAAAGCAAGAGAACATAATTGTTACTAAATCAGCTTTATTTAGGGGGATATTGGAACTTATTTAAAATGTTACCTTTTTTAGTTGTCACAACTACAGTGAAATATTCACAAAGTTACAGTGTTGTATAGATTTTACTGTCCGTCAATAAAATCTTGTGAAGTGATAAATGTTTTCTGTCACCTCATTTAAAAACAATACATGAAACAAAAACAATACATGAAACAAAAACAATACATGAAACAAAAACAATAAAGAACTGCGGATGCTGGAAATCAAAAACAGAATCAGAAATTGCTGGAAAAACTCAGCAGATCTGTGAAGAGAAAGCAGAGTTAATGTTTTGGATCCAGTGACCCTTCTTCAGAATTGAAGTCCTTTGGACTGTTCTGAAGGATCACTGGACCTGATATGTTAACTCTGCTTTCACTCCACAGATGCTGTCAGACCTGCTGAGTTTTTCCAGTAATTTCTGATTTTGAATACATGAAGCTATTTAATTTAAATCATTCAGTAATTAAAAAGGCAGTATTAATTAGTGACTGCATTGCCATTTGGGTCAGAAAGTCTTGTGTGTGAAATAACAGTACTATGAAGGCAGAAGCCCTCTGCATAGTGATCACAGTAACTCCAGCTTACATTTATATTGTATGTTTAGTGACCATCTGACATCCCAAAGCGTTTCACGTGCAGTCACCTTTGTGACATAGGGAAGGTAACAGTCAATTTGCACTCTGCAATGTCCCATAAATAGCAATAAAATGACCAGATGCTCTTTTTTTGTTTTGTGAAATTTATTGAGGGACAAATGTTGACTGAGGCATTGGGGATAACACTCCTGCTGATAGAGTCATAGAGATGTACAGCACGGAAACAGACCCTTCAGTCCAACTCATCCATGCCGACCAGGTATCCTAAATTAATCCAGTTCCATTTGCCAGCATTTGGCCCATATCCCTCTAAACCCTTCCTATTCATGTATCCATCAAAATGCCTTTTAAATGTTGTAATTATACCAGTGCCCACCACTTCCTCTGGAAGTTCATTCCATACATGCACTAGCCTCTGTGTGAAAAAGTTGTCCCTTAGGTCCCTGTTAAATCTTTCCCCTCTTACCTTAAACTTATGCCCTCTGGGTTTGGACTCCCTACCCTGACAAAAAGGCTATTCACACTAATCATGCCCCTCATGATTTTATAAATATCCATAAGGTCATCCCTCAGCCTCTGATGCTCCACAGGAAATAGCCCCAGCCTATTCAGCCTCTCCCTAGAGGTCCAACCCTGGCAACATTCTTGTAAAGCTTTTCTGAACCCTAATGGAATCTTCTGTATCTACCCAAGCAGACAGATGGAGCCTCTGTTTAATGTATCTTCTGAGAGACAGCACCTCCAAAAGCACAATACTCCCTCAGTACTGCAATGAGTGTCAGCCCTATGTTTTGTGTTGATGGAGCTCCTGAATTTAACAGTGTTGCTGCATCTTCAAAAGGCAGGCAGAGTTTTACCGACCTGTACACACGTGCAACATGTAGCCAACAGCAGTTGCAATTGCTCCTAGGTCTAAGAGATGACAGGGAAATGGAGCACAAGCTGCAGAGGGGGCAAACTCTTTTAATGCCCCATCAAACAGAGCTGCATACCTCCCTGCTCCTTAACAGTGACAACAGGCTCACTTGCATTCTCATCAACATTCCCTCGTGTTTGTCCTATCAAAGTCCTCATCTGAGAACCCTGCAACAGAATCTATCCAAGTTCTCCCTTCAGTGAGCTCCCACACAAACTATCCTCTCATTTGGCTATAGCCCCACTTAAGCCCGTTGACTCAACATGTGCAGATTCCAACTTCGTGTGGGCATCTGAAGTACATTTAGTACTAATATCTGAACTGGTGGTAGAGATAAAGATAAATAAAGTGGCAGAGCCTATTCACTGCTGGACTGTAGTAAGTGACAGCTGTTGTATGGTTGAAAGCAGAAAACCAGGCAGGGAGTGAGGGGAGAGGGCTCAGTTGGAAAGCAAGAAGTTCATGACTACACCACCTGAAGTTCCAGAAAGAAGCATAAAGTCAAGCTGCTAATTCAGAAGGGAGGAAAATGACAGAATCTTAGAAGAATCATGTTGCTAAAAGAGGTCATTCAGCCCATTGTGCCTTCACTGAGATGTTAAATGAGCCCTTAGTCTCAATGACACAGGATAATACAAGCTCTATTCCAGCAAATCCCATGATGTACTGGATCATGTCTGTAGCGCACAGGAGATGTCAGGTATCCTTGGTAGCTGTTGATTCAGTTCTGCTTCTTTTTCATGCATATGGCATTGTCCTGCATGAATGAGGGAAGAACATCAGTAATTGTCTTGCAGTGTTTGGATCTGGACAGTTGGGTGTAAGCAAGAGGAGCTGAATGTGAATCGGACAATTGCAGTTTGTGTGAGAGCTCCTTATTCTTTCTCTTTTATATTCTCAGCTTCCTTGTATCATGAGGGGTATGGATAGGGTGGATAGCCAAGGTCTTTTTCCTAGGGATGCCACAACTAGAAGGCATAAGTTTAAGGTGAGGGGGAAAGATTTCAAAGGGATCTGAGGGATAATTTTTTCACACAGAGGAACAAACTGCCAGAAATGGTGGAGGCTGGTACAATTACAACATTTAAAAGACATCTGGATGGGTATATGAATAGGAAAGGTTTTAAGTATATGGGCCAAATGCTGGCAAATGGGACTAGGTCAGATTGGGATGTATGGTTGGCACGGACGAGTTGGACCGAAGGGTCTATTTCCACTCTGAATGACTCTGACTCTAAATGCACCTCACAGCTCTATTGCTAATAGCTGCCTCTATCTCTATTTTCCCTCTCAATAAAACTCATATCTGCCCAAATTTTGATCATCAGACATTCCTGGACAGGTCAAAAGAAAACTCATCTGATGCCTTTTTCATTCTTCTATATCTCTTATTTGTTACTTTGTTTCCCATTATTTGATCAACACTACAGTCAATCTAGCTCCAATTGTTCCTTACTCCTAAGCAACTCTTACCTGTTGATTCTCATTATACCATTGCAGCTGAAATGAGGACTAATGGCAAAAGACACTAACGCATTCCTTCCTTGCTTTTCCAGAATGGTTTGTTCTCCCTATCCACCTGTCCTCCTTTGTCTTTTTTCTCTTTGATAATCTAGGTGCTTGATTTCACAGAAACGGTCCTGATTTAGCACAGCATCACCTCTCACATTTTCTCAATTCAATAATCTGTTTCATCTCTCCAGTAGATAAACTGAACAGGAAAATATTTACAGCATGCGTCTTTATTTCTGTGGAGCTCGACAGCTCATTAAAATCCAATTTAATGTGCCATCTTGGATCTTTCTGACTGCTTATCTGGGTTTATGTCTGCCTGGGCCACTGTATCTCTGTGGCCTGGAGACTGCCTTTTTCAGTTGTGCCTCTGTTTATGTCTGGGTTTGTATCTGTGTCTATGTCTCCTTCTGGATTATTGTCTTTCTGCCCAAGTGCGTCCATCTGCCTCTTTCATTGTCTATGTTTAGGTTTGAGTCTTTGTGTCTGACTCAGGAATGGTGTCTGGGTTTGTGTGTCTCTTTCTCAGACTTGTCTCTAATAGGATTGTATCTCTCTGCTGTCCCTTTCTTTGTGTCATGTTCCTTGAATGAGTCGATGCCTGGCGTTGTCTATGTTATTCATCGTGCCTCTCTCAATTTGTGACTGTTATTCTGTTTTTCTCATTGTGTGTTGAGTTCTGTTCTCACTGGCTTGGAATTGAATTGCACTGCCTCCCTGTTAGGCCTGTGTTTATTATTTTCTGTGTGTGTGTGTAGTTGGGGCTGTATCTCTCACTGACTCAGTCTGTGTCTTTGCCTGATTCTATCCCTTAGTGCCTGGGTTTTATCACTTACTCGTTCTCAGTCAGAGTTTGGGGTCTCCAATTTCTCTCTCTCTGTTAGGCTTGTGTTTGTCTTTATTCCTCTCTGTCAGGCTTGCGTCTATCCTGTTCTCTCTCTGTGTTAGGCATGTATCTGTCTTTATTTTCTCTTTCTCTCTGTTAGCCTTGTTCTTATTCTGTCTTATTCTGTGTGTGTGTATTAGACTTGTATCTGTCTTATTCTCTCGGTGTGTATAGCCTTGTATCTGTTTTATTCTCTGTGTGTGTATTAGCCTTGTATCTGTCTTATTCTCTGTGTGTGTAGCCTTGAATCTGTTTTATTGTGTGTGTATTAGCCTTGTATCTGTTTTATTGTGTGTGTTTGTGTATTAGCCTTGTATCTGTCTTATTCTCTCTCTCTCTGTATAGCCTTGTATCTATCTTATTCTCTCTCTCTCTGTATAGCCTTGTATCTGTCTTATTCTCTCTCTCTCTGTATAGCCTTTTATCTATCTCATTCTCTCTCTCTCAATAGCCTTGTATCTGTTTTATTGTGTGTGTGTGTGTATTAGCCTTGTCTCTGTTTTATTGTGTGTGTGTGTATAGCCTTGTATCTGTTTTATTGTGTGTGTGTGTAGCCTTGTATCTGTTTTATTCTGTGTGTGTGTTTGTGTTCTTCACTGGCTGCGGTGGACTCTCGGACGGTAGGTACGGCGCCTTGTCCGTGGTCTTCAGGCGGGGACGGGGGACGGGCGGAGGGGGCAGCTCCTCATTCCTGCTGCCGGGTCTGTCTGCAGCGTGCGGGCCGGCTCGTGCTCCGGCTGCTCTCCCCAGACACAGGGCGGGCTTGAGAGGCCGCTTAGGCTCCGGGAGAGGCTCGATCCGGCCCCGGTTCATCCTGTGTCAGACGGAGAAGACGGAACATTGAACATTAGACCCTGCAGGCCGACAACAGAGCGACCGAACGGTGGACTGAAGTAGCCCTGCCAACGCTCCCGGAATTAAAGGAGAATCTCCAGGTTCCTCATTAGGATAGATAGAGGTACTAACAAAACTGTGTTTGCTTTCATATCATTTTTACACTTCAGATTATAGAAGTATTGGGGGGAAGGTAACAATTTTGCATGGGCAAAGCAATTAAAGGTTGAAGGTCAAGGAATGTCTACCCAGAGTTGGCAACTGTAAAAAATGACCAAGAGAGAATCTAACCATTGTTCTTTGACATTTAATGGCATTGCCATTTCTGAATTCCTCACTATTAACATCCTTGGGGGTGGGGTAGGGGTGCTACTCCTGATCAGAAACAGAACTGGACCAATCATATAAATACAGTGGCTACAAGAGCAGGTCCGAGGCTTGGAGGCTTGCAGCAAGTAACTCACCTCCTGACTCCACAAAGCCTGTCCACTATCTACAGGTACAAGTCAGGAGTGGAACACTCCCCACTTGCTTGGATGAGTGCAGTTTCAACAACATTTGGAAGTTTTACATCATCCAGAAACAAAGCAGCCCACTTGACAGGTACCACATCCTCACTCACTCCTTTCAGTAGCAACAGTATGTGTCTTCTACAAGGTGCACTGCAGAAATCCACCGAGGTTCCAAACTCATGACCATTTCTACCAAGAAGGACAAGGGCAGCAGATACATGGGAACATCATCGCCTGCGAGTTCACCTCCAAACCATTCACCATCCTGACTTGGAAATATATTACTGTTTCCTTCAGTGCTGCTGAATTAAAATCTTTAAACTCTCTCCTTAACTGCACTGTGGGTCTACCTACAGCAAATGAACTTCAGTGGTCATGAAGGCAGCTCACCACCACCTTCTCGAGGGCAAATAGGGATGGGAAATAAATACTGACCCAGTCAGTGAAGCGAACATTTCATGCATAGTCCTTAATGAATGTTCATCTCTGAAATGTCCAATATAAAACCCTCTTCCCCCATTTAAAGAAAGATGCATCCACTACATGAGTCTGATTAGTCTCTTTAGCGCATTAATGTTGGAGGAAACCTTGTTCATATTTACATTTTGTGTATATGTATATACAATATACACACAAGCCCCCTTTAAAAATTTATTCACTTGTAATGCAGTGGTTCTAGTCACACACACAGTCATCAAATTTCCTTCCCTCTGCGACAATCAGCTAGGCTTAACATAGTCCTTTGGGTCTCCCAACCTCCCCACCCAGTCAAAATCTGCCCATCTATCCCCGTTCACTGGGGACATATATCATCATTCTTAGCCTTAGAGTAAGAAGCTATCATGGACTGACCCTTTTGCAATATGAATAATTTCTATACAGGTGACCGAGAATTTTGAAGATGCCGAGGGCAACGGTTGGTAACCACAGCCCTCCGCTGCTACTGAGAGTGATGCTGGCTCTTGTATCTCTTGTTGCGGCTCTGCTTTCAGTCACCACGTTCTTCCGGATGGAACTCCTGCACCATTTGCCATGGACAAAGGGACCAGTAGACAATAGTTCAGATTCATGCTCGTATGGTCACTTCCGGCTGGGGGGAATGAAGGACTGCCTTTCCTGGTTGTCCTGTAAGGTGATTCAGAATGAGGTTACTGTGGTGAAGCTGATTGGTCGAGGTGCTGTCAAGCAGGTAAACTCTTCCCCCTCCAATCCTCAATTAAGACAGAAAGTTCTGAAAATATTCAGTAGGTTGGGCAGCATATGTGGAGAGAGAAACAGAGTTAATGTGACAGAACAATAACCTATCATCTGTCTTTCTCTCCCAGTCTCATTTCCAAGGGTGACCTATGGGCTTGTATTGTTTTGGCCACTTCTTTGGACTATGCTGTGCAGTGGTTTGCTATTGTCTTGAACATGAAACTCTCCTGCTCTTATTCCTTGCCATCAGATGACTTGGGAAGGATTTACAGGCTGACAATCAACCTCAGAAACAAAACAGAAATTGCTGGGAAAACTCAGCAGATCTGGCAGTATCTGTGGAGAAAAAGCACAGTTAATGTTTTGGGTCCACTGACCCTTCTTCAGTGCTGATTGTTGCTAGGAAAAGGTTGGTATGTATGCTGAAGATGGGGTGGGGATAGTGGAGGAGTAAACAATGGATGGAAATGGAGCCAAGGGATAACAGCAATTGGGCAAAGAAATGGGTAAAGGTTCAGCCTGGGAGAATCAATAGCTGCTAATGGGAAGTATTAGTGGCTGACAATGGGTGGTTTGTGGTAGCTGCACCTGTGATGACAAGGTCTGGTGTGTGGGGTTGTGGGAGGACATAGGAGAAGGTACTCAGGCCCTAAAATTATCGAGTCAGGAAGGCTACAGGGTCCTCAAGTGGAAAATGAGATGTTGTTCTTCCAGCTTGTGCTGAGCTTCATTGGAGCACTGCAGCAAGTCTGAGACAGAGAAGTTGGCTAGGGAAGATGGTAGTGTATTGAAGTGGCAGGCAACAGGAAGACTGGGATCATTTTTGTGGACAGAATGTAGGTGTTCTATAAAGCAGATTGCTCTGCAGAGTTTGTTTCTGATTTCCAGCATCTCTGATTCTTTGTTTTTTCTGACAATCATTCTGTTAGGCCATGTTACCAATACTCCTTCCCATGGCCAAGAAGTCTTGGTGTGAAATTTGAACGCAGATTTTTTCAGCTAGAGATAGAAACACTGCCACTGCACCGCAAGATATTCCTCAGCTATCATCAGAACAGGGGAAAAAATTAGATGTAGTGGATTTTGTAGTGAAAGGCAGCCCCCACCAGATGGTGGAAAAAAGAACAAAAGGGAATATGTGGTAATATGGAAAACTTGATCTATTAACTACAAAAGATTTGGTGGTGCAGAGCCAGTGGGGGTGTTAATAGAACAAGTAAAGAAAGAGAAAAAAGTGTGACTAGATGAGGTGTGAATGGCTGGGATAATAAACAGCTACCATCCGAGAGCAAAAGTAAAGCACAAACATACAAAGAAAGGGTAACAAAATGTGGGCAGACATGATAATCAGAAATTGTTGAACTCACTGTTGAGTCCAAAGGCTGTAAATCCTTATAGATGAGGTGTTGTTTCTTGAGCTTGCCTGGAATCTCATTGAAGGTTGTCTGTTCAAGCCCTACAGCAATGATTTGAGAATGATGACCAAGGCTGAGATTTCAGTGCAGTACTGATGGAGTGGCATACAGTCAGGAGTACAGCCTTACTAATGAGCTGTTAAAAGTGAGGCCTCAGCTGTCTTCTCAGGCAGATGTAGTAGAATCTATAGCACTATTTGAAGAAGAGAAGATTCCTCCTTAGTACACTGGTCAATGTTTATCCATTAATCAATGTCATTGAGACAGGTTGTCTGTCGTATGTCAATTAGTTTTTGAGATTCTTACATATTACAATAGTGACGAGGCTGGAGAAATATTGGATATAGAACACTATGGGGCATCCTGAAGGTATGAATTATGCTATATAAATGCATACTTTGCTTTTACTAGGTAAGAGCAGCTAAGAGCAGACTATGGTTTCTCTATTCACACTGTTGGTGTCACTCTACCAACCAACTGTCCAGCCACCTGATGCTGACTGAGTTGCAACAGCTAAGTAATACCATTTAAATCCACAAATTATTTTTATCCATAAGGGTAATAATTGCCTATTCGACTAAATAGTCCTGTTACTAAGGAAAGCAAAAGAAAAGTCAGAAAAATACAAATGATTGTCACTTGAGAGGGCACTCGGTGAGTACTCTGATGCAAAGGTGATGATTACTGCTAGTAATGACAGATCTCAGTACTCAGCGAACTGTGATACAGTATAGTTGTTACTGAAGGTCCTTGTCTTTTTCCTAGGGTGGGGAGTTCAAAACTAGGGGACATATTTTTAAGGAGAGCAGAGAAAATTTTAAAAATGACATGAGAGGCAGCTTTTTTACACCAGAGATTGGTTTGTGTGTGGAATGAGCTGCCGGGGCAGTGGTGGATGCAGATACAGTTACAACATTTAAAAGTATTGGGTTAAGTGCATGAATAGGAAAGGTTTGGAGGGATATGGGCCAAATGTAGGCAGGTGGGACTAGGTTAGTTCGGGAACATGGTCAGTGTGGACCATTTGGACTGAAGGGTCTGTTTCCGTTCTGTATGACTCTATTCGAGTGTCCAGCTGCCAAGGATAGGTGTGCACCTTTGTGAAATAACGACTTGCATTTACAAAGAGTCCTTTATGTGATAGAACATTCCAAGACAATTCACAGGAGCATGAGCAAATAGAAAAATTGACGCTGTAGTAAAAGGAAACATCAAGATAGGCGACTGCGTGCTTGGCCCAAGAGTAGGTTTGAAAGAATGGGAAAAGAGTGAGAGGGTTGGAGATTTAGTGAAGGGGCTCAGACAGCTGAATGCAGAGCTGCCATTGGTAAGACAAAGGAAGTAGTGGGTGCCTAAGAAACCAGAGTTGGAAGAATGCAGGGTTCTTACGGGGTTGCAGAGCAGATGGAGATTACAAAGATAGGAGGAGCAAAATCATGGACTGATTTGAAAACAAAGGCTAGTTAACATCTGATATTGCAGTTGTGCTGCTGCAATTTAGAAACAAAATTAGACTACTGTCTTATTAACTGGTCTGTATGTTCACCAATGCCTCTGCTTACTCTGCAGGTATTCCTTGCACATTGGCAAGGGCACAAAGTGGCTTTCTCTCAACTTGCTGTCTCCAAATTTAGCAATGACTTCTTTCATGGACTAGAGATGCTGAAAGGCTTGCAGAGTGTGTATGTGGTCAAACTGCTGGGATACTGTGAAGAAGATCGTACCATTCTCACAGAGTATCATCCATTCGGATCGTTAGTCAATGTCAATTCTGTTTTGGAACGAGAAGGGCACCGAGTCTTCAATACGTGGGAAAATCGATTTCGTTTGGCCATTGACTATGTGATGTTCCTGCAGTTTCTACACAACAGCCCTCTGGGTCCCCGAGTTATGTGTGATTCCAATGACCTGAGGAAGACCTTGTCCCAGTATTTATTAACTACAGACCTGCATGTGATAGCTAACGATTTGGATGCTTTGCCATTAGTAAATCGGAGCGCTGGTGTTTTGGTAAAATGTGGTGTCCGGCAACTTCAGGGTGACTTTGTGGCCCCAGAGCAGCTTTGGCCATTTGGCAATGACCTCCCATTTTCTGATGACCTCATGCCTCCATATGATGAGAGAACAGACGTGTGGAAGATTCCAGATGTTACTGATTTCCTGCTGGGCCAGGTTGAAGGAAGCGATGTCGTCAGACTCCATTTGTTTCAATTGCACCAAGACTGTAAGAGAACTGTGCCACAGCAAAGACCCTCAGCACTGATGGTTCTACAGAGTTATAAAGCTGTTTATACTTCACTTACACAGGAGTCAGAACTGTCTGATAGTTACAGCAGTGCATCCCATGACATGTAATTAATGGTGAGATTATGTCCTTACAGTTACCGTAACTTAACTCAAATAAAATCTTTTTTAATAAACTAACAGCTTTTGTCAATCTGCCGGTACCATGATAGTGCAACAGTTGAGCACCAGCTAACATTATCTTGGTGTGGGAAGATCAGATTCATATTATTCAAAAAGCAGCCAACACGTATCAAAGCTTTGACAGCACAGATGTCTGATTTTAATGATCTCCCAGCTACCAATCGTAGGGCACCTGCACCCTAGGATCCATCTTGCATTTATTCCATCTCCTTGCGTGCCTATATTCGAGAACCTTTCTCTGCTACCTCCCTGCTACTCCCACAGCCTGAGTCCTCTCTCCCACTATATTAAGGAACCTCTTATTCCAAACAAAAACAGAAATTGCTGGAAAAGCTCAACAAGCCTGGCAGCATCTGTGGAGAGAAACCTGTTTCTAATTTACAGCATCCACAGTTCTTTCAGTTTTTACCTCTTATTCCAAACTGCAGTACATCCATATCATGATAATCTTTCATGAACAATTATCACACCAGCGTACTCACACCCTAGGATCTTGCACCTTTTCCACCCTGAGGATATTGCCAGGCTTTATTGATTTCTTGTGGGGTCATTTCACTTAGATGGCTACAGTGTGTTGCGGAATTATGTTAATGGTGAGGGTTCAATCCTTGTACTGGCTGTGTAATTTGTGGATTGCTGCCTCCTTGCCTCCCCATGTTTAATGTGGCATGGTTCCCTTCAATCCAAGATAACCAACTGTTTCTCATTAATTGTCAGAGATGACTATGGATAATCAAGGATATGTAAGATACAGAATGTGGGGAAATAAATAGCAACATCTTGGAAAATGTCCATATTACAGAGGAGGAGTACAACGGGATCCTGATCAGATGGTCCAATGGGCCGAGGAGTGGCAGATGGAGTTTAATCTAGATAAATGTGAAGAGCTGCATTTTGGAAAGGCAAATCAGGGCAGGACTTATACACTTAATGGTAACATCCTGAGGAGTGTTGTTGAATAGAGAGACCTTGGAGTGCAGGTTCATAGTTCTTTGTAAGTGGAATTGCAGGTAGATAGGATAGTGAAGAAGGCATTTGGTATGCTTGCCTTTATCGGTCAGTGCATTAAGTATGAGTTGGAAGGTCATGTTGCGGCTGTACAGGACATTGGGTAGGCCAGTATTGGAATACTGTGTGCAATTCTGGTCTTTCTGCTATAGGAAGGATGTTGTGAAACCTGAAAGGCTTCAGAAAAGATTTATAAGAATGTTGCAGGGTAGAAGGGTTTGAGTATAGGCAGAGGCTGAATAGACTGGGGCTGTTTTCCTCAGAACATCGGAGGCTGAGGGGTGACCTTATAGAGGTTTATAAAGTCATGATGGGCATGGACAGGGTAAATAGACAAGGTCTTTTCTCCAGGGTGGGGGAGTCCAAAACTAGAGGGCATAGATTTAAGGTGAGAGGGGATACATTTAAAAGAGATCTGAATGGGTTTGAGTAGGAAGGGTTGAGAGTGATATGGGCCAAATGCTGGCAAATGAGAATAGATTTATTTATATTATATCATTATTGTATTATTATTTCTGGTCAGCATGGATGAGTTGGACCAAAGAGTCGGTTTCTGTGCTGTATATCTCTATGACTATAACTATATCTCCTGTCCTCATTCTCCCTGTGCTCCATCAGCCAAGTACATCCTCTTACTACTGCTGCAGCACAGCCCCTCATTCAATTACCATACAAGAGATACCCCGAGTATAGAAGCTGAGTGCACAAAGCCCTTCCCCCTTTACTTTTTTTTAATTCATTCATGGGATGAGGGCATCGCAGGCAGCATTTATTGCCCATCCCTAATTGCCCAGAGGGCAGTTAAGAATCATCCACATTGCAGTGGGTCTGGAGTCACATGTAGGCCAGACCAGGTAAGGATGGCAGTTTTCCTTCCCTGAAGGGCATTAGTGAACCAGATGGATTTTTCCCAACAATCGACAATGGATTCACGGTCATCATTGGATTCTTAATTCCAGATATTTATTTAATTCAAGTTCCTCCATCTGCCGTGGCAGGATTCGAACTCAGGATCCCAAGACATTACCTGGATTAACAGTCCGACGATAATACCATTGGACCACCACACCCACGATTCGCACTGCCCTCTGACGTGACCAACCGAACTATAGCCTCACCCAACCATTGAGCCAGATAACAAGGTGCAGAGCTGGATGAACACAGCAGGCCAAGCAGCATCATAGGAGCAGAAAGGCTGACGTTTCGGGCCTAGACCCTTCATCAGAAATGGGGGAGGGGAAGGGGGTTCTGAAATAAATAGGGAGAGAGGGGGAGGCAGATAGAAGATGGATAGAGGAGAAGATAGGTGGAGAGGAAACAGACAGGTCGAAGAGGCGGGAATGGGGCCAGTAAAGGTGAGTGTAGGTGGGGAGTTAGGGAGGGGATAGGTCAGTCCAGGGAGGACGGACAGGTCAAGGGGGCGGGATGAGGTTAGTAGGTAGGAGATGGGGGTACGGCTTGAGGTGGGAGGAGGGGATAGGTGGGAGGAAGGACAGGTTAGGGAGGCGGGGACGAGCTGGGCTGGTTTTGGGATGCGGTAGGGGGAGGGGAGATTTTGAAGCTTGTGAAATCCACATTGATACCATTGGGATGCAGAGTTCCCAAGCGGAATATGAGTTGCTGGTCCTGCAACCTTCGGGTGGCATCGTTGTGGCACTGCAGGAGGCCCAGGATGAACATGTCGTCTGAGGAATGGGAGGGGGAGTTGAAATGGTTCGCAACTGGGAGGTGCAGTTGTTTATTGCGAACCGAGCGTAGGTGTTCTGCAAAGCGGTCCCCGAGCCTCCGCTTGGTTCCCCAATGTAGACAAGGCCACAATGGGTACAGCGGATGCAGTATACCACATTGGCAGATGTGCAGGTGAACATCTGCTTGATGTGGAAAGTCTTCTTGGGGCCTGGGATGGGGATGAAGGAGGAGGTATGGGGGCAGATGTAGCACTTCCTGCGGTTGCAGGGAAAAGTGCCGGGTGTGGTGGGGCTGGAGGGGAGTGTGGAGCGGACAAGGGAGTGACGGAGAGAGTGGTCCCTCCGGAAAGCAGATAAGGGTGGGGAGGGAAAAATGTCTTTGGTGGTGGGGTCGGATTGCAGACGGCGGAAGTGTCGGAGGATAATGCATTGGATCCGGAGGTTGGTGGGGTGGTACGTGAGGACGAGGGGGATTCTTTTTTGGTTGTTATTGCGGGGACGGGGTGTGAGGGATGAGGTGCGGGAGATGTGGGAGACACGGTCGAGGGCGTTCTCGACCACTGAGCGGGGGAAGTTGCGGTCCTTGAAAAACGAGGACAACTGAGATGTATGGGAGTGGAATGCCTCATCCTGGGAGCAGATGCGGCGGAGGTGAAAGAATTGGGAATAGGGGATGGCATTTTTGCAGGAAGGTGGGTGGGAGCAGGTGTATTCTGGATCCTGCCCGTCGAGAGAAACCCCGCCCATTGAGACAAGCCCCGCCCATATAAACAACAATCGCCTGTCAAAACGAGCTCCGCCCACAGAGTCCGCCCCCCGTTTGGTGAGATAAGCCTCACCCATTACAGTCAGCCCCGCCATCACAAGTCCCGCCCATAAAGACTAGCTCCTCTGGTGGGACAAGCTCCGCCCATTGAGACAACCTCTGCCCATCACAAGCCCCGCCCATAAAGATCGGCTCATTTATCGAGACAAGCCCGCGCTTCGAGAGAAATCCCGCCCATCGAGACAATCACAGTCCTTCACAACCAGCCCCGCCCATTAAGACCGGTCTATTATCAAAATAAGCCCCGCCCATCGGCATAAGCCCCTCCCACAAAGGCCCCTGCCACTGTTACGCCCCTCAGCGATCCCGTGAAGAGGAGCTGGGCCTGACACCGTGGATGAAGCGCCGAGTACGGCAGAGGAGGGAAGGGGAGCTGGATCCACCGGGCCGGAGCTCAGCGCGGAGACAGCTGCAGCAGGAGAGCCGGGCAGCCTCAGCCTCAGCCTCAGCCTCAGCCTCAGCGGCAGGAGCAGGAGGTCCGATGGAGCCGGGCGACCTGAGTGTCAGGCTGGGCCTCGGCGCTGTGCTGCTGTCCGCTCTGGCGGTGCTGCTGGTGGGCGGCCTCACACTCCCGGGAGCCATGTCGCAAGGTGAGGCCGGAGGGTCCCTGAGGCGCGGGGGTGGGGGTGGGGGAGGAGGGTTAGGTCCATTCCCAGGTTCAGTGAGGAACTGCGGGGATGTGTTTGTGTCTGGGCCTGCCTTGTTGCGGCTGGGGGAGTGGGGGATAAGGCGGGTGTTGGTGGGGGCAAGGGGGGTTTTCCTGGGTATTTTTGGGGGGGGGGGGGGGAGATGAGATGGACAGGGCTGCTGTTGCCAGACTGGGTGGGTGAGGAGAAGATTGGCAGAAAGGGTTTCTTTCCTCACTTGGGTGGGCGCAGTCAGGGTCCTGTGTTAGAAGGTCTGTGCATTGGCTTATAGGTGAGACTGTGTTGGATCTGGCTATTGGTTGAGCTTGTGGAGGGTGAGGTTAATAATGTACGCTGCTTTTTTTCAGATCTGAGGGCCTGCTGCATATGAGTAAATGTGCTGGCTGATATTTGGATAGAACGTACTTTAAAAGAACCCATAGCTCATGGGGTGGGGCATTGCTGGCTAGCTGAAGATTTATTGCTGATCCCTATATCCCCAGAGGACATTAAGAATCAACTGCCTTACTTTGGACCTTGAGGTACATTATGTTCCCTAAACTGTGTTGGTGAGCAAGATGGGTTTTTATAACATTCAACAGTGGTTGCATGATTGCTATTAGATCAGCTGTACATTCCAGAATTTTGTTGGAATCACATTTCCCTATCTGCAGTGGTGTGATTTGAACCCATGTTCCCAGATTGCTGCCAGTCTAGCTTCACTAACACTGTTACTGCCACCTCCACCTTGCCTTCTATTTATAGAGTGCCTGTCAGAATTCCCCCCTCCCCCAACAGCGTTCCAAAATGCTTTACAACCTGTTAAATATTTTGATGTTTAGTTACCCTTGTAGTGTAGGACACGACGACAAACTTTTGCACAGTAAGTCCATGCAATGGGGAAATAGACCAGATCTCTCCTTTTCAATTTAAGAGCTAATTGAGGGTTTTAAGAGAGATGCTCTTTAATGTGTGTATTTCTCCCATTGAGTTGAATCAAGAACTTTCTAACTTCGATGTAAGAGTCTCATCCACTGAACTGGGGCTGACATATCTTACAATTAGCAGCTGGTGTAGATTATTTAGGTGTTTATTCCATGACCATTTGTATTGGTTTGCTGTGTTTAAATTAGCTTCCAGGTTTACAATATAATAGTTGGGTGGGATGTAGTGGTGGTGTTAGCGGATCGTCACGATAATCTTGCACGTAGCATTTAATAATTGTCTTTCGATCATGTCCTGGATGGACAATAATTTTTAATGTAACTGTGTTTGTCTGCCTATATAACCTTCAGTCAGAGAGTGAAGTCTAATATCTTTTTAATAAGATCTAAATGCACCTGGAGAAATGAGACTGCTTCTCATGTGCAGCTTGAGAATAATCAAGAAGCTTGACACCATCTCGGACAAAGCAGCCCACTTGATTGGTACCACGCCCACTCCCAATGTTCAGGAGCACCATCTACCAAGTGCACTGTAGAAATTCGCCGAGGTTCCTTAGACAGCATCTTCCAAACCCATGACCATTAGCCTTAAGAACAAAGACAGCATACATATGGGAACACCAGCACCTGCAGCTTCCTTTCCAAGCCACTCTCCATCTTGACTTGGAAATATATCTCTCTTCCTTCAGTGTTGTGGGGTCACAATCCTGGAAATTCCTCCTTAACAGAATTAAGCATTTAATTGTAGTGGAGCAGTTCAAAAAAGCAGCTTTTTGCAACCTTCTTAAGAGCGAATAGGGATAGGCAATAACTGCTGGGCCAGTAAATGAAGTTTTAAAAAATTGATGACTTGCTCAAAAAAGTATGCAACATTGAGAGGAATATGCCTCTAAAATTTGTATAAGTGCACTGGGAATTGTACTGGCTGCCGTGAAGTAGAAATTAAATTGAAGATTTGGTTGTTAGTTGGAACACTTTAGCTTGGTTAGTATTGAGTGGAGTTAAATGCTGGATAAAGAACATGGGGATACACCATACTTCCTCTACCACAGTTGAAGGAAAAGATTGATTTAACAATCAATAATGTTTTATTTACCTTCTACCTAATATGTGAGGGAAAATAATTTTGTATTCCCCAGTAAAAGGGCTGTTAGAGCAGGATCAATGCTTGAACATGATATGTTTTATACAGTGTATTGTTCAAGTTATACGATTGGAAAAGGAATTGTAATTGCACAGCAACATCTTAAAGCTGTAGTTAATATTTGAACTTGGCTGTTTATAAGCAATAGCTTGTGCCAAAAGATTACTCTGGTTTTTGAATTATGTGATAGTTTAGTTGCAACTCAGAGGCCGCTGTAGTACCAATGATGTGTCTTCCATTCCTGTGCTGTGCTGAGTTTTGGATGAGTTGTTAAACTAGAGCTTGGAGTGCTTTCTAAGGTGGAACTTAAAAATAACCCACAACTAGTTTGATGAAGAGCACAGGAGTTATCCCCTCAATCCTCATCAGTATTAATCCCTCAATTAAAATCATTAAAGCAGATTATCTGATCAGTGCATTGCTGTTTGTGGGAGCTTTCTGTACATGAATTTGCTGTCTCACTTTCTAAGTATAGCAGTAACTTTACCTCAGAAGATGCTTCAATGGGTGCAAAATGTTTTTGCTTGTGAAGTCTGCTTTACTGTTTAATAAGAATTCTGATCTGATTGGAGCTTGAGTCTACTTCCTTGTCTGTCCTTCATAACCCTTTAACTCTTGTCACATAAAAATGTCTTACTCAGACTTAAATATTTTAATTGCTCATCTCCCATGCCTCTGACTGGATTTTTAAAAAGATACATGGGAGGATAATGGTTCATAATATCATGCGACTTACAGCACAATATATATCAAAGTCACCCTGTCAATCCAAAGTCCTGGAGTCAGAGTCATGGGGTTTTGTTAATAGAATCAGATTCATAATCCAAAGGTCGCTGGATATTGCTTATGTAAATACTTCTTTCACTCATCTAGAGTGAAATCTGATAATAGCGAGTTGCTCGTAATTCAAAAGAAAGGAAAAGCTTGTACTGGCAACTTTTTAGGATTAGAATCACTGTTGGCATCAATGTGAAGCAGCTTCTGTTTCACCTGGTGTGAAGTGATGTGAGAACCTTGCACATGGGTTTATTTTGCTTTAGGAAGCAAGTCTTTGAGTGTTATCTTGAGGGCACTTTGAAAGGTGATGCCATCCAGTACATTAACTGCCCAGTATATTAACCCCATGAGTCTGATTAGGAACCTATTTAATTATATTTCTGATTTAACATATTAAATAATTAGACATGAGTTTTGGGCATATGGTTGCAATCTATTGCACTGGATCTTTTACTTATGCTTTGTAAAACAAATAGATGAAAAAGTAGATTTTTTTTGAGTGGTTTGTTTTCTGTGTAGATTTACTGTGTATCTACCACTATCTAATAACTAGGGTGCTTTGTACTAAAATGAATGTATGTGGCTAACATGTCTCATTGTAACCACTTAGCGGTTGATTAAGCTAAACTGAAGTTAGATGATGCAAATATTGCTAACTTGCTGGAAGAGTAAAGATCGCAGAGAAGATGGGCAAGTGAACTGAGACTGTGGTACAAGAATCTGATCTGCAGCTTCTGATCTGGCTGCTGTTAAATTGTTGAAATATCTGCCAAGAGCCAATATGATGAACTTGTATTGTCCATTCCGTATGTTTTCTTAAAAAATCTGAACTGTTCTCAGTATCCTGAGACCCTTACAATTAATTAGAATGTACCAATCAAAACTGTGCCAGAAGAAAAGAGGGCTGACAGAAGTTGAGATTTATTGCTTATTGGGGAGGCAATGGCCTAGTAGTATTATCGTTGGACTGTTAATCCAGAGACCCAGGTAACGTTCTGGGGACCCAGGTTCGAATCCCGCCACGGCAGATAGTGGAATTTGAATTCAATAAATATCTGGAATTAAGGATCTAATGACCGTGAATCCATTGCTGATTGTCAAAAAAACCCACCTAGTTGACTAATGTTCTCTTAGGGAAAGAAACTGCCATCCTTACCTGGTCTGATCTACGTGTGACTCCAGACCCACAGCAATGTGATTGACTCTGATGCAGTTCTGAGGAAGGGTCACCGGACCCGAAACGTTAACTCTGTTTTCTCCTCCACAGATGCTGCCAGACCTGCTGAGCTTTTCCAGCAACTTTGTTTTTGTTCCTGATTGACTCTGAACTGCCTCCTGGGCAATTAAGGATGGACAGTAAATGCTGGATGGACAGTGATGTCCTCATCCCGTTAATGGATAAAGATTTTAAGCACTTGTGCTTTTTTTTTTGTTTCACAACAGAATTGCCGGAAAGGAGACCACTAAAACTTGAGATGGATCAAGCAATTTTAAAAGTTTATAATGAGCTTCATGAAGGCCTGGTAGTCTCCTGGCTATCAGATCACTGCTATCAGGTGGGTTTGAAGTAGTGCAGGTCAACAAAGTTGTGTTTTGTCACCAGTGTAGGTGCCAGAGTGTGTCTTCCATGCTCAGCATGGTGCAATTGGAACTAGGGCAGAAGTAGAAAAGAAGTATCAATTGCAAAACCTGAACAATGTTCTCTATCCATTATTGATGCAGCATTGAGAGAGGACACTCTTAATGGGAAAACAAATCCTAACTGCTTGTGATCGATTCTGTTTGACAGCTGCTCTTTACATAATATAGGTGCAATAAAGATATTTGTGTACATATCTTTTATATGTTGCATCTTCTTTCTCTGGATATTGGGCACAAATTCATTGAAAGTTGCTCTGGTTAGGTTGTGTTTCAAATTCAGAATAAAATTATTCACAAAGAAGTAATAGCATTTCAATGTAGCATATAACAATGTTTCTCCTCTTCCATGAAAGTATACCTTGATGTATTTTGGAGTGCTAACCTGGTTCAATTTTATCAACAGAGCCGAGAATAAATTTATTACTGAAAATAAGCATTTTATGAAGTGTGGTCAATGAGAGCAACCTGATTTTTAAATTGTTGAAAGTTACTTCATTAAACTGAACCATTAAATACCTTCATTGCTATGAACGAATCATTTTGGTAGTGAATCATGTTTTTTGACACAGACACAAACAGAGGGAGAAAGGAATAGAAGGAAGTATTGATTGGAATAGATGAAGGGTGGGTGGATGCTCATATGGATCATAAACATTGGCGTGGACCTGGTCGCTAAATGACCTGTTTTGGCTTTGTAAATAATTGTAATGCAAATGAGTTTTGCATGTATTTTCTTCCATGTGTGTTCAACATGAGATGTGTTCCCAGGCTAGCTGAATGGTTCCAATCTTGCATTTTCCACCTGGGGGTGAGACCAGTTTTCTGGGTGGTGCCTGATTTGGGTGAATTAAATTATACGTTAATTAATAGATCACACGGCAAACTGAAGCACAAATTGCTTCAGGCAGAGATTGTTTGTAATTTGTCTTTGCGCTGGTTAGGTTGATTTTGGTGCACCAGTCACTGAATTTCCAGTCAGGATAAACAGTTTTTAACCACTTGTTTTAAGGTCTGCACACTAGTTCGAAAACACTGTAAAGCTAAATAGTAAGGTTAAATGTAAAGCTGATTTTGTTTATTTAACTGTCTTTCTTTTCTGTGTATCTGATTTTTCTCAGTGTCTGTACCAGGAACTTGGAAATGTACCTGCAGAAAAACATATAGGGCACCCTAAGAATTCAACATTTGCCATTGACACAAAATATCCAGTAACATTACAGGTGAACAGTAGTGTCGATAAGGAAGTGTGCAGGTTAGTGGATATATTTCCTCATTGTTGCTACTGCAATTGAAAGTATGTGCATTTGGAGAAATTCTGTGCTACCTCGTACATTTCCCAAGAGAGCGCGAGCATCTGCTGCGTGACGTGGTTAATACGGAGAGTCAGCTGGACATTTTGATTCAGGCAGCAGTCACAATCCTTTGATTTGGTTATTAATCGGGGACAAGAGAAGATGTGACTTCATAGATAAAGGAGCCACAGGTACAGTGGTGGAGGAATCAACCTCTGATGTGTTGCATGTTATCATTGGAGGTGAGAATATAGATTGCAGAGAGGATGGGGCAGTAAAACAATGTCGCTGGTACAGGAGTCAACTCAGTGGCTGTAGAAAAGAATATGTTGGAGGTAAAACATTCAAGAAGGGGTAGATAGTGTTCTCTATTCTCAAGAGTCCTAAAGCCCAGCTTTAAAGGTATCTTGTAGTTAGAAGTGAAGGATCTAGTTTTCTATGTAGAAACGAATGCCCTAGGTAGAAGTAGGTGTGATGATTTGCTGATGGAGTTTAAGCTCAAGTGTAAATTAAACATTTGAAATATCTAACTGACAGAGTGGAGGTTGGGATTTCAGTTCATGGGGTACTAGCACTAGAATTCGAGAAACTGTTCTACTGAAAGAAACTGCATTTAAACTGGATTAAGTCCACTGTCTTGAAACAATGACTAATAATGTGGATGAATTGCTGTGCTGCATTGACTTGTCAGTGGTTAGATCTGCCTGATTGTATTAAGGCATAGCAGCTAAGGCCACATACAGGAAAAATTGTAAAAATGTAACATAAAGCACTATATTTGAATGCTTATTGTTTTTGTAACATAAGTGAAATAATGAACAGAGGGGTTTGAATAAATGGGCATTAGTGAGATGTTGTCACAGGATGACTAAGGTTCAGAACTAAATATTCAAGGATGCTGGACTTTAGAAAAGAAGGGCAAACTAGGAAATGACGTGGCTCAGCTGAACATGGTGTGGCAAAGGTACTAAGAATGCTCAGCCCAGAATGTCGGAATGCAGAATCAGTCTGGATAGAGTTAGAAAGTAGGAAAGGTCCAGAAGTACTTGCAAGAATAGGTTATAAACTTGTAAATAGTGACCATCGTGTTGGACAGGGAAAGTTAGAGGGGCATATACCGCAATAATAATTGTAATAATGTTTTCATTTTGAAGTTTACGATTTTAATCTTGTTCACTGGCCAAACCAAATTGCAAAAGTAACTTGGAGGGTAAGCTTATAAAATACATTGAGAAATCCTACTGAGGAAACAACTAGGCATTAGGTTATTTATTAAATTAAATCTATCCCTCGGTTAACATTACAAAAAGAAATTGCTGTTTGTCGGTGTTTTGTGTGTAAATTGTCTGCTATTTTCTACTGTACCACTATTTCAGATTAGAAGTACTTCTTTGGCTTAAAGCACTTTAGGAAGTCCTGCAACCAAGAAAGATGCTATATACACTTGTTAATGAAAGTAGGTAAATTGTAATCTTGTACAGGACCATAATATGGAGTGTCATATTAAGTGTGATAAAACCTGAAACTGGGATTATAAATTTAAACAGTCAATTAAAAATGCTTTAAGAATTAAAAGCAAATGGAAACATGGGACAGCCTGGCTAGCTAGAGAAGTTAAACATTGTAAATCTCTTCTTTTAATCTAATACAATGAATGTTGCCAAATGAGTAGCAGGTTTGAGTGTGAGGTGGATGTTAAAATCAGCAAGGAATGACTCAATTTGAGGGGGGGAAAAGAAAAGTAAACTAGCTAAATGTATAAAAACAATGAGAGATTTTGCAAAGGTGTTTAAAGGGAGAGTATTTTAGAGGTAAATGTGAGCACCTTAGAGGCAGAGATGGTGACATTATAGAGAGCAAGAAACTGGTGAACATTAAATATTTGTTTGTTGTGACAGTAGAGGTGAAAAATTACTAAAAATTGTGGAGAAGCAGGGCTTGAAGAGAGTGAGAAGCTGGAAGTAATTAATATTAGTTTTTAATTGAAAAGTCCTGAAGACGTTTCATGAGACTAATAACCAACAAATCCCCTGGACCTGATGACCTACACCTTTAGGGTTTTCAGAGATGATTACAGAATTAGGAGTCGCATTGACTTTTATCTTACAGAATTTCCTAAATCCTAGAGCAGCCTCCATATTTTTGGAAGGTAGTAGATGTAACTCTGCTATTGAACAGAATGGAAATTGAAAAGGGGAGCCATTGAACACTTAGCCAAGCATCAGTCATAAAGAGAGAAACTCTAATCTATTTTAAGGATGTGGTAACAAAGAACTTGAAAAACCACTAATTAGGCAGAGTCAGTGTAATCTTGTTGCAATTATATAGGGGTTTGGTGAAACCATTTGCAGTATTCTGTACAATTTTATGCCATCATACCTAATTACGAATATATTTTTCATTGAGATTCATTAACGTTTACCAGGTTGATTCCTGTGATGAGAAGGATGCCTTATGTGAAGTCATTGAGTAGAATGGTCCTGAAACATTCTTTGTTCGTGTCTCCACATGCTAAATATTTGCAGTATTCTGTTTTATCTCTGAAATCTGACTTGCTTTGTGTCTCTTGGGAAAAGCCTCTGGTCTGCTCTTTGGAATTTCTAAACCAATGAGTGGACGGCATCTAAAGCTACATCCCATGAATAATGTGCACCAATTAAATCCAAAATAAATCCAAATAATTAAGGTTATGATTTAATTGTTTCGATGGAGTGCCTAAAAAGTTTCTGTCTTCAGTTCTCCTTGCTGTAAACCTTCTATTTTTGTTTCTTGCAGGGTGCATGAAACCTTTGGTGAATTTGGACATTATTCTTTATGGGTGACCAAGGCAAACCTGAGTAATGCGAGTGGACCAGTCAACTGTAAAATCATCATTGACCAAGAATCCATTAGCAACAAGCTTCGTATGTATACTTGTGAAGAGCTGCTGCAATTTGACCTGTTCAGAGTCAAAAGGATAATGTTCTAAGAAGTTGAAAAAGATCAGTAACCATTTTATCACTGTCCCTAAGTGATACAGCAAAATGTTTCCATTTCTCATGAGGTGGAATAAATTATCATTGCAAGCCTTATCTGTGCTGTGTCTATGATGTATATCTCAAACTGATAATCTAAGTAGTATTGGATAGAAGCACTGGCTGTGGTTTGTATTTGCAAATTCTGGCTAATTTTGTTAGTTTTCTGGATTATTTTCTCCTATTTTAGTTTTGAAATCTTGCATAATGCTTTACTATCTCAAAATTTTAAAAATATTTTCATCTTTCTCTGCAGCTATTTTATATGCATTCCTTGCCTATGGTGGATTAGCCGTTTTGATGTGTTTAGCACAGTTAATAATGGGGTAAGTGCCATAACACACGATTTACAGTATCAATTAAATTACAGTTTTAAACCACTCCTTGATAAAACCATGTGGATAGGGTTAGGCTGCTGGTCAGTCCACCATCCATCCTCCATTTTTGATGGACAGGCATAGTGGGATAGGAGGTAAGTGACAAGTAATTGGAAACTCGGTCACTTTTACAGTCGATGTAGATGTTGTGCGGAGCAGTCACACAGCCTGCGTTTTGCCTCTCTATCGTAGAGGAGACCCACATCATGAACAGCAAATACAGGAGACTAGATTGAATGGAGTAAATCGTTGCTTTACCTGGAAGATATGTTTTGGGGCTTTGGATGGTGAGGAGGGATTAGGTAAACGCGCAAGTATTATATCTTCTGCAGTTATGTGGGAAGGTGCTGTGAGAGGGGATGATGGGAATGGTGGAAGAGTGTACGGAATTCTTGCAGAATATTGACAAGCATCAGCAATTGATCTTGGTGTCCCTAGAGAGGGCAGAGTTGCATAATCATCAGGCCAAAAGCTGAGAAGGAACCTGCTACATCACTTTGATGCTTGTTTTCTAAACTCTTTAAAATTCATTATTTCCAGTAAATGTTCAAAAGTTCAATGGATTCTACTTCCAGCATTGGTCCCAATGACCCATTTCCTGACAATCTTGGCATAATTATTGATTATTTATGCCCTTGTTACCTGCTGAGTAATGATTCTACCTCATCAAAATTGCATAATTTTAGATTCCTCTGTTGGAAATCCTTTTAAACACTGGCCTAATTTTTTAAAAAAAGCCCCAATTTTCCTAGATTTTCCATCATAACTAAATCCTCTCATCCAACTTGTTACAGTAAATCTTCCCAGTCTGGACACTATTCAGAGTTTCAGCCCTTTCTCAATGTCCAAGCACCTCATGTTTGACATTTGAGAACAGAGCAGGAGATTTGAGGGTAACTTGTAGCTATACTTAAAATTCTGAAGAAATGAGGCAGTAGCATGTACACGGTGAGTGAAGGGACTAGAACAAGGGGATATAGGTACATGTAGAAGTTGTGACATTGACATTGCGCAATGTCACAACTTTTTTTTGCCCCAGTTAAAAAGAACCCTCTTGCATCTTCCTTAGTTCTAAAGTGGATGCCCTCATTTGTTTAAGTTGAAATCAATTTCCCCAGTTTGCTTTGTGCACAGAATGCAGTGAAGTATGCTGCTAGATTTAGTGATTGAAATGGTGATTGCATATTTTTAAGAGTGCTTCGTAAATGTTGAAGGAAAGGTGGGTCAATGAAGCTTGAGAATAAGACTGTTAGGTGTGTGATGTAAAGATTGATGATACAGATATGAACGTATGAGTAAAGAGACATTTAAAGGCCAAACAAGTGGCGAAAAACTGCTGGAAACAAATTTCACTGTAGATTCATCAGACCATCAACTTTGGATCAAATGAGGTTAGAACAGTTCTTTTTAAATGGTGCAGAGCTACAAACAGTAAAGATTGAAGGAGACTTGGGAGAAGGCAGGCTGCAAGCACAACATTAAAATGAACATGTGCAGAGAATAATCAAAAAAGGTTAGTGGAATACTGCCGTATCTATCTAGAAAAAGAATACAAGGGTGTTAGAAATTGTTTCATCTATACAAAACCCTAGTTAGACACACCTGAAGAACTGAGCTGTTCTGCGCACCACACCTTTTGAAGTATAATCTTGGTTTATTAGAATAATGCTGGGATTGCAAGTTTTAAGTTACAAGGAGCGAAGAAACAACTGTGTTTGTATTCCCTGGCACCTAGAAGGCTAAAGAATAAGTTTGAGGGGAACTGACAATGTAGTTTGGGAGAAATTACTTGCTCTTAATTAAAATGAAGAGGATAAAAAAAGTGACAAATCGGAAGTTAAAGTTGGTAGAGGTAAGCAAGAGTGGTAGAAGTTTAGAAATTGTTCTGCAGCTGTAGTTGATGTTAGATAAATTGCAATTTTAAAATTATTATCTTAAGCTTATTAAAAATTAAGGGAGATGGGACAAAGGAAACTTTATAGATCAGCCATGTTCTAATTACAGAGACATGAAGGCTCAACGCTGATAATAAATAAGCTGAGCAGCTTGTTTTTTGCATTTTATAATTTCAGTAATAGTGCAGTTGAATATATAGTGAGATGGTTAGATTCTCTGTCATTTCCTGGTACTTGTGTGGTGCATATTGACCATCACCAACAAGTTAGAATCTAAACGTCTCCCCATGCCATTCAATGGCATTACCATTACTGAATTCCCAAGGTCAAAGTTCCGGAGATCTCCGAAAGAAATGCAGATGCTGTAAATCTGGAACAAAAACAGAAGTTGCTGGAAAAGCTCAGCAGGTCTGACAGCATCTGCGAAGAAAAAAAAATCAGTTAACGTTTTGGGTCTGGTGACCCTTTTGACAGTTCCTTCAAAACCTACAACCTGTCTTGTTTAGAAGGACAAGGCAGCAGGAGCAACAGCACCTCCAAGCCACCTGTAAGTTGCCATTTCCATCACCACTAACAGGATGCCGCAATCAGACACATGCACTTCCCCTCCCTTGTCAGCATTCGACAGGAACTGTTGCCTTCGCGACACTCCAGTACATTCTTTCACTATTCCCAACGTCCCCTCACACTTCCACAGCATTTTCCCACATAACCGCAGAAGGTGTAATACCTGCATGTTTACCTCATTCCTCCTCACCATCTGAGGCCCCAGACATACCTTTCAGGCGAAGAGGCCACTTACTTCATTCAGTCTAGTCTACTGTGTCATCTCATTCCTCTTTAAACAAGTTGCAGACAACTGACCAGAATGTTATGAATGAATTTGCCCAGGTGCCCCACAATACCAAAGCAGTCAAATCAATACGAGCACAAGCCGGTACCAAAGCAAAACATTCTCACTTTATTAGGAACAAAATTACAATAATCTTTAATCCTTAAACATACTGTCCCTAAACCTATTTGGCCCCTTAAGATTACTATACTTCCCGAATGTCACGTAGATTTATGCAGTTGCTCTGGCTCTGGGTCTGCGAAGCTGCTTTCTTCCCCTCTCCCTCTCTGGATGGTCAGCTGGTTGCTGCCTCTTCTCATGCTGGAACAGAGGGATCTGCAGTGAACTCTGTTTTCATACCTTTTGGATTTCTGGAACTTTCTTTAGTCCTGGACAATCGGGGAGATAGTTTGAAACATGAGTTAATCATTTAGATGGCATGCCATTATCAATTTCTTTGTGTAGCAGGACCCGGTGCCTTTCTGTTTGGGGCTGTCTTTTGTTTAGTGGATAAGCTGTTGTGGGTGCCTGTGCGGAGATAACTGTTGCCTTTACATTATGCTAATGCCATTAGCACCTGGCTGGTGTTCGCACTGTCTGGTGCGTGGGTTTTGTGACTTGATTTTTCATTTGGCTAACTTACCCCTCACCCCTTGCTGTTCAGCCAAGTTGGCAATCTGTGTTTTAGCAGCCAGGAGGTTACAATAACTATTTGCTGTTCTTGAAGTGGTCTCCTCTTCCCCTGTACACTGGGGAGATTAAATATAGGCTGTATGACCACCCTGCAGAATACCTACATTTTGTTTGTAAAAGTGACCAAGTTTCCAATTTCTTGTCGCTTCAACATGCCACTGTTTCCGTGCCAACTTTTGCCTTGGTCTCACTGCATTATTCTGCTTTCTCTCCACGGATGCTGCAAGACCTGAGTTTTTCCAGCAATTTCTGTTTCAGGTCTCCAGCATCTGCTGTTCTTTGTTTTGTTGTAACAACACCTTCAGTTTTCCTTCCAAGCCACGGGGCATCCTGACTTGGTACTGTATCACTGTTCCTTCAATTTAATTCAGTCAGAATCCTGCCACACTCTTTCTCACAGCACTATGGGTGTCACTTCATCCCATAGAGTGCCGCATTAGAAGACCTCTCGTCTCTACCCCTTTGAGTCAAGTTGGGCAATAATTTACTTGTTATTTACATAAGTGACCTGGATGTGACTGTATAAGGTATGATTAGTAAGTTTGTGGTTGATACAAAATTAGGAAGTATTGTTGAGGAACGTTATCAAAAATTTGAGGGATCTTGATCAGATCGGGTAGTGGGCTAAGGATTGGCGAATGTAATTCAATACAGGCTAAGTGTGATGTGTTGCACTTTGGAAAGTCAAACCAAGGTAGGATTTACACAGTAGGTGATAAAGTCCTGTTGAGTTTATGGAACAGCGGGACCAGGAGTACAAGTACATAGTTCGTTGAAAGTGGCGTCACAGGTAGACAGGGTGGTGAAGAAGGCAATTAGCATGCTGGCCTTGATTGGTCGAGACAGAGTATAGGAATTGGGATGTTATGTTACAGTTGTATAAGTTGTTGGTGAGTCTGCACTTGGAGTATTATGTACAGCTTTGGTCACACAGTTATAGGAAAGACATAGTTAAATTAGAAAGCACGCAAAGAGGATTTACAAGGATGTTGCCAGGACTAGTAGGCCTGAGTTATAGGGAGAGGTTGGCCAGGATAGGACTTCATTTATTGGAATGTAGGGGGAATGAGGGTTGATCCTGTCGGGGTGTATAAAATCATGAGGGGCATAGATAGGATGAATGCATATAGTCTTTTTCCCAGGGATGGGGAATTTGAAAACTAGAGGACATATGTAGAGGGGGAAGATTTAAGGAGGACCTAAGGGGTAACGTCTTCACACAATGGTGCGTATATGAAATGAGCTGCCAGAGAAAGAGATTGAGGCAGGTACAATAGTAATACCTTTTTTTTTAATAAAAAAAAAAAAAAAATTTGGATAGGTACATGGATGGGATAGGTTTAGAGGGGTATGGACCAAATGTGGGCAATTGGAACTAGTGGAGTGGAGACTGTAGTCAGCATGGACCAGTTTGGGCTAAAGGGCCTGTTTCCATGCTGTATTACTGTGACTGTAAATGCTGCCACATCTCAAGACAAGATTTTAAAAACATATATGTTTGAGCGTAGGGTAAAAGTCAACCAGGAGCTCCCCTGTGATGGGTTCGACCGTCCTATGATCGAATAGCTTGATGTTATCCAGACTTTCACGTTGAAAATTGATTATTTTGGAAAATTGTCAATTGTGATTGTTGGCTGTAGGATGCAACCAAGGAATGAATACCTTCAAGATAAGGTGGAGAGGTAGAGGAGATTTGAATGGACCAAATGGTCTTTTAATCAAAAATCTTGTTTCTTGCTCCAGGCTTAATTCTGTCAGAAACCTGATGTCCAGCCTTTCGTATCGGGTTGAGATGGAACGGCTAATTAATTCTGTAAGTAACAAACCACATCAGAATTAATTGTTTCAAATGCATATGAGTAAGAAAAATGGGCAACGTTTACTACATGGATCCTTAGACTAGCTGAGGATGCAGATTTGAGATCTACTATCTTAGTAGACTACCTAACCAGTGCTCAACCACGCAACTAGAATGTTGAACCACAAGTAAGGTACTAGTCAAGAGGAGGTTGACGTTAAACTGTGCTGGTCAGACCCCATCACCAGTCGTGCTCTGATTGCTAAGATACAAAGGAAATGTTCAAACTCTGGATGTAGTGCGGAGAAGGGCCGTAAGGCTTATCCCAGAGTTGGGGCTCTGGATAATGAGGAAAGACCGGAGAGACGCAAGCATTTCAGCCCGGGAAGGAAATATGAGAGCCTAACCTTAATTTTTGGCGGGAGGAAAGTATGTTTCTTTAACTTTTGTTTGATAACCAGTATCCGTTCGTGGAAACTTTTTTTTATTTCCTCTTCCTCTTTAAGCTTTTGCTACAATTTGATTAGAGCATCTCTCTTTTAAAAATCTAAAATGTTTGTGGCTTGCTTCAAAAGGAGTTGGGATCAACAAACCGTGTAACGGACAATGCACCTCATGGTAATATGGTGCCAGGACGCAATCCGGGGTCCTACCGACTTCGTTCACTGGATACTTTTCGAGGGTAACTTTTTTTTTTGATTTTTGGGTTCTTTCAAAGCCCTTGCTGTTATTGTATGCCTGCCAACTCCTCTAGCTGTTAGAATTGAGCAATTCTTGTAATGAAACAAAGACATTAAAGACAACTCATATTTTCTCTGCCTAATTGATTTTGTAGGAGGGTGTCCCCACCAGAGGCTCATTAATCTTGGTGTGCAGTATCTGTGTTATTTCTGAATGCACTGCTGTTGCTGTTTCATATTATTTTGAAATTTTTTTTTTTTGGTCTCTGGGAATCGGGGCCCTGTCCAGGGTTTTCTCACTTCCTGATTCCCTGCCACTTCCTGTTATAAAGTCATAGTCATACAGCACAGAAACAGACCCTTTGGTCCAACCAGTCCATGCTGAATGTAATCCCAAACTAATCCCACCTGCCTGCGTTTGGCCCATATCCCTCCAAACCTTTTCTATTCCTGTATCTATCCAAATGTCTTTTAAATGTTGTAATTGTACCCATATTTCCTACTTCCTCAAAGTTCATTCCATGTGCGAACCATCTTCGGTGTTTTTTTAAAAAAAAAATTGCCTCAGTCTATTTTTTAAATCTCTCTCCTATTCCCTTAAAGATGTGGCCTCTAGTCTTGAAATCCCCCATCCTATCTATCTAGAGAGAACGCTGTGGAGCAGGCCAGGCAGCATCAGGAGTAGGAAAGTTGACATTTTGGGTTGGGACCCCTCAGAGAAAAAAAAATTAACTCTCTCTATGCCTCCTTGTTATTTTATAAACTTCTATTAGGTCACCTCTCAACCTCCTATGCTCCAGTGAATAAAGTCGCAGCCTAACCAGCCTTTCTTCATAACTCAAACCTTTCATACCTGGCAACATTGTGCTAAATCTCTTCTGAGTCCTCCAGCTTGATCGTATCCTTCGTAGGATGAGGTGACCAGGACTGGACATAGTATTCCAGAAGAGGCCTCACCAATATCCTGTACAGCCTCAACATGACTTCCCGACTCCCACACTCAGGACTGAGCAATGAAGGCAAGCATGCCAAAAGCCTTTTCAACCACACAGTCAGTATGTGATGCGAAATTCAAAGAATTATGAGCCTATACCCTGAGGTCCTCCTATTCTACAACACTACACAAGGCCCTACCATTACTTGTATATGCCCTACCCTTTGTTGTATCAAAATGCAATACCTTGCATTTATCCAGATTGAACTCCATGTGCCATTTTTCAGCCCATTGACCCATTTGATCAAGATCCCTTTGTAATCTCCAAAAACCACCTTCACTGTGTACTGTGCCACCACTTTTGGTGTTGTCTGCAGACTTACTAACCATGCCTACTATATTCTCATCCAAGACATTTATATCAGTGACAAACAAGAGGACCCAGAACCCATCCCTACTGAACACCTCTGGTCACAGACCACCAGTCCGAAAAGCAACCCTCCACCATTATTCTGTCTCCTGCCATTAAACCAATTACATATCCAGTTTGCAATCTCACCCTATATCCCACGTTTACTAATTAGCGGAATCTTGTCAAAGGCTTGAGTAAAATCCAAATAAACATGTCTACTGCTCTGCCATCAATCTTTTTGATAACTTCCTCAAAAAAAAAACTCAATCAAGTTTGTGAGACAGGATTTTCCTCACAAAAACCATGCTGATGATCCCTAATAACAAGGTGTGGAGCTGGATGAACACAGCAGGCCAAGCAGCATCGGAGGAGCAGGAAGGCTGACGTTTCGGGCCTACACCCTTCTTCAGAAATGGA